CGTGGCATATCACATAATACGTATTATTTCCCTTATCTGAGTCAGCTTCTTGAGCGTATCTGCCGTCAACACTTACAGTGGTCACATACTGTATGCAGAAGTATTATTTTTAAGCAACACATTACGAAACACGTCGAGTCAAATGTAATTAAAGTCAGATCGTGTCTTTTAGACGGGGCATATATAAAAAAACCTTACGCATTCAATCACACTTTTTCTGTTACCAGCTGTATTCACCTTGCAGGTGCAGCTATGTGGCTTTTATCCTGGATAAAGTGTTTAAGTCATGGATGTTTAAAGTTTAACGTCTTCATATTTGTCTAATTATATAGTTGACTTTTGATTCAGGAAGTATGACGCGCTGCGTTGTCAGTACGCTCCATATGTGAACGCGCACCTATTTAGATAGGACACGGCTGGCTTGAGCGATCCACTTGATAACCTGCGTCGTAGTACCGTTTAGCAAGAGCGCGTATGTTTTGGATTAGGCCAACCGGCTAACTCAAACATATCCAGTTAGGTTGAACCAGCTTCGTAGTACGGGCCCCTGAAACTCTGGATCAACCGGTTCAGCAACAACACATCTGTTGTTGCTGAACCGGTGGATCCAGTTCCTCTCCTGATTCCTTTTGAACAACCTTCAGATTATTCCACTAGGCCAAAAAGTTCAGGCTACAAGTAATCTGGTTACATCTTTTCCTGCCTTGTGACCAATTTTGTATTTGATTTGAACACATGTCCTCAAGATTATTATTATTATTATTATTATTACAACTGGTAGGAAGTGAAATGATCCTTTTTGTGCATGTATATTTCATATTTACTTTATATACCAGCACGTATCTCTGTATTAATGTTTCACAACAATGTATGTTTGCTGATTGAAGTTGCATTCATTTCTTATGGCTCTATCTGCAGCTTTTCCGGAGTCATTTCTTATGACTACATTTTTCCACAGGCCAAAAACAGCTTGGAAAAAACTATTCCCTCAAAGAAAAAACCAAACATGCCCTGTTGTCTCAAGAAAAAAAGTGCAGAAGGAAACATCCATTAAACTCAGTGTGCTGCTCTGTGATGCTAGTTCAAGCCAGATACTTGGCATCTCATCTTGGGTGCAAGTTCATCAATGTTTGGGCTCAGGCTCTGAGCGGAGGAAACCCTCTGGACTGAGTGAAGGTGTGCGTGCAATATACCGGCGGGCCAGATCAAAATAGTAATTAAACATTATCCTGCGGGCCGAAATTAAATCCACCAAGGGCCTGATTTGGCCCCCGGGCCTTGAGTTTGACACATGTGACTTAATGGCTGCATTATTTAGGTTTACTCTAATAGCACCAAAACACCACAACATAACAAGTGCCTCCTAGTTATAAAAGCAACAATAATTCAACTGATTACAAGGACTTTGTTAAGAGATGTTAACTTAATGAAGTCGAACTGTAACGATAGAGTAAATGAAATTGGAAGTGGATATATGGCTTAGAAAAACATACATTAGAAATCTGGTATATATATCTTTGATAAAAGAGGGGAAATTATGCAACCCGAAACATTATTCATGATTCTCCGTTTAGATATGGCAATTACTGATCCAAATATATATTGATCTAATAATGGTAGTAGTTTTTTTGTTGTGTATGCCCGATGACAATATCCAAATCCAGATGTATCACTGTAAGATGGCTGATATTTTCCTATTGTATTTACACCCTATTGTGCTGAGTTGACCTGAAGTCCTACAGGTAAAGCGAGCACTAATACAGAAATGATTCACTAATGCTCCACCGCAGGATGCATGGAGGAGATAACATTTGCGTGATTATTGCCAACTCCAGGTTGGTTGCTGATATGATTTTATTTTACTGGTGGTGTCAGTGTTTGGCCTGATCAGCAGATGGCAGTATTGATATTCAGTGCAATTGAAGAAAACCTGACAAAAGCACATCATGACACCAGACTACTTTATGTGCATGTGATTGTGAGGGGTTCGCAAGAACTATAATCAACCTATTGTACAATTATACAACACGTTTAAGCATATAAGGATTGCATTTCTTCTCGAGGAAGAAAAAAACCCATTTCCTATTAACATAAAGTCACTCAACTGTACAGACAGGCACCATGAGAATAATGTAACAATATAATATGGATTACAATTGATGGTATGCTTTAGGGACGAGATAATGATCGACATGTTAATTGGAGGTGTTTTACACCTCAGCTGGGTGTGGAGGACCTGTGGGTTCTTGTAATGAATATGTCTTAATTGTGGCAGGCTGCTTGACAT